AAAAATAACATGAATTTATTAATGATAAATAGCTAGCTAGCAAATTTCTGTTTATACAAAAACCAATTGAATTTATTCACAAATTTATTTATTGGAATTATATTCAATGAATGTTTAAGAAAAATATTAAATTTATTAATTTAAATATTGAATGTTCCAATATTTTAATAAAATTATGGGTTGTTAATTTAACTTAAAGATTTAAACAGTGATATACAAAGCCGCTATATAAGAGCTACAAAACATGTTGAGAAGTTATGTCCGCAAAATTTTTATATCATAAAGTGTTCATTCAATACATCTTAGAAGTTATAATTTCTTTATATTATAGAAAAGCAGTGCTGTACAGAATTAATTAAACAATATCATAAAAATTAATTAGATAAAGAGTCCAAAACCACTAGCTCTATGCCCTCAATTTTTATCTAAAAGGGTTAAAAGTGGAAAAACGTGGTCATAGTTTTAAAAAGTAATCTGGGAAATAGGTGAAATACTCAAACTCTAATAGGTTATTTAAAATTCTTCACAAGAATTCAAAATTACGTTACAACCATAATTTTAATAACAATTATCAATCGATGATCACTTCAAGCAAAAAAAAAATTATAGCTTCAGGGCATAATGCCTTACGAACAGAGATATTAAAACTTTCTCATTAAACTAATAAAAAATGAATATTTAGCAGCCAAATTTCAATAGATTTTTATACATTAGAAGGCATAAAATAATTGTCAAAGTTTTATAACAAAATCAACCTTTATTATTATATTTTTAATTCCTAATATTGCGAATTAACATAAATAGAGTAAAAGCAAGAATCTTGCTGATTAACTATTAAAAAATACTCAATTAATGAATTAGTAAAAGCACTATATACATATAACAATTAATTTACAAATTTTCAATATGCCTACTTAAGAGAATAAGAATTAAATCTTATGTTTCTCTTAAACTAAAACCCCGTATATTTCATTCTTAATTGCTCTTCTAAGAAAAACGTACGTAATATATGTAGCTCTACATATGAAAGGTCAATAAACTATTTCTATAAGGTCATCTTGTACTGAATTCTCATTACTTATATGAAACTTACATCTGAATAACAGACATATATAACTAGGTCTGATTTTACTAATAAGAAATTTCACAAGAGTAATCGTTAATCATTTCTTTAATAATAATGATTTATACAATTATAATATCATCCTTGTGATATGCAACATGATATTTTAATATTCCTATTGATTAACGTTATTGATAATTAATAATCCCTTATACATTATAATAATTATATTAGATTATAAAGACGCAATAAGTAAATAGAAATGATAAATCATTATGAAACCTTCATAAAATAGTAAAGAATCCTTAAATTAAGTTCTTTTATATTATATGCAATGCTTTTAATATATAAAAATAATTAATTCATTATAATCATTATGACATGACGTATCTGGATTTGTAAATTAGAATATTTTTGTTGAATAGCATGACAATGTTAGTTATTAAGGATGTAAGTGTGATATTCAATTTCTTTTAATAAATTTTCAAGATTTTCAATAATACTTTTAACTAGGCATGTCAAATGGAATTGAAAATTGGGAATTCATCCTTACTTTTCATATTTTTGATTCGAAAGTAATCTTTATTATTTTAAGATTAGAAATTTTCTAAAATTATTGAACAAAATGACATCAAAATAATTTAAAATTAGCCCATATTCCAACCTCACTCCCAATTCAATTTTAATTCCCTATAGCTAATTTTAATTTTACACAGAATTAAAAATAAATCCCTTATTCTTGATCTACATGCAAATTAATATAATGTCCATCAATTCATTCAAATATTTAATTTTACCTAATTACCAACATAAAAAATAATCTCACCTGTTTTATCCTAATTTTTATTTTCTGGTTTTTCTTTATGAATGAATTTTAAATTTAAAAGGTATATAGGCTTAATATCCTTATTGAATAGGATACTATAGACATAAAAGGTAACAAAAAGAAAAAAAAAAATTTAATTATACTTTTTATCGATTTAAACATTGGGAAAAATCTTTAAAATTTGTTAAAGTTTAAAGAAGATTAAAGAGAAAACTCCGAGTTATTTTTAAAAATAAATATGAAGGTAAAAATAATTTTCAAAGAATTTATAGAAAAGTTTTTAATAGTGTAATAAAATGTTATTTTAGTACAAAAAATTTTCTTCAACTTTTCAAAAACTTTAGAATTTTTATCGAAAATTTTAATGGTCATTAAAAGAAAGTTTTCTATATACGTTATTTGTAGACAAAAACAGGAACTTAGGCGTAGACGTAAAATAAAAACTAATGCAAAAAAAAACGTAAACAAAATTATTCTCGAACTCTTAATATTAATGACAATTACTGTCCCATAAAGTTGATTGTTTCTCTCATTAAATAAAATTACTTTTGTATATTTTGGAATTTATAGTGATTAATTTGTAGAAACAATAAAAATTTTAAAAATTTTATAAGTGATTTTGAATTCTTCGGAGAAAATTAAAGATGTGTGCTAGTAAATTGTGAACATTTGAAATAAATACTCACGTAATGCAATCCTCTCTTTATACAATTTGTTCGTAATACAATCCTCTCTTCATGCAAAACTTTTTGTACATTTTAAACATCTTTTCACTTTTCCTCATATTTCTTTGATTTAGAAGTTAGACATGTATATTCAGGTTACAATGTACAGAATGAGGGTCCTTACTAATATTAGGGTTAGGGTTAACAAGCAGGCAAACGTCACATTCGAAATAATTTTAAACTCTGAATAATATTGAAAAACCAAACGGGGTTTACGGAGGGATCTTCTAAAACAACGCCAAATCAAAGAGCTTTTAATATATACATTTTATTAAGCTTTTATAAAGTACGGGGTAGAGTTATGCATTCCATATAAAAGTAATCCAAATTCCTGTTTCTATATTTCCTGTTTCAAACCTTTTCTGTATCCTATAATGGCCTTGGGACCGCTTATTTGATTAGTCGGCAGAAGAAATACAAATCTTAGGTTGCAGTGCCTGGATTACCTCATATCACGAACTTTGATCTATACAAGTACTTATAAAAAAATTATTATCAACATTTTGTAAAAACAGGAAAAAAGAGGGTTAGAGAGTAAATTCAAACGTATTTTTTCCATAAATTATGGCAATAATTTCAATTTTTAACATTAAAACTCATTCCAAAACAAAAGTTGCGTGATAAAAATTTCGCCTTATTTAATGTTGATATACAATTTCTCTTTCATTTCGGACACGCTTCTGAATTGAAAATTAAAACATGAAATTCCTATTAAAGCTATTTAATTTCCAACTTTTTTAAAAAACAAATTATTTTGTATTTAATTATTCTATATTAAAAATCATAATTTCAAATTTTAATAATTTTATATTCTTTGAGTAAATATAATTAAAGCATACTTAAGATTAGGTTAATAAAATTTTAAACGACCTTTGATTCAACCGACTGCAAATAATTATCAACACCATAAAATCATTTTAATTGTTTTCGGTTCCATACCATAAAAAATCTATTTTAACGTCTACACTCTTTTGTCCTCTTATTTTTCTGCTCTTTTCATATTTTGTTTTTCAACATTAAAGGAAATTTAAAGGATAATGGAAAATAACTTTTAAAATTTTTTCGAGAACACAAAAATTTTTATGAAAATCTTTTTACATTTTTAAAATATTAAATTCAATAAAATAAAGAAAAAGTGAAATTGTTTGGTGTTCAAAAGAAAAGTGAAAAGAAATGTGCTGCATCACAAAAACTTTCTATAAAAAATAAAAAAAATTTTCTTTTTAAAGTGAAATTCATCTTTCTAAACAACTTATTAAACACAGGATATAAAATGTATAAGGTTTTATTAAAAGGAAATTTAAGTTATACGTGTTAAAACAAACCAGGAGAAAGAAAAAACTTAAAATAATAATCACCTACTGTGAATCTATTGAGTGACATAACACGGATATCACACAGGAGGACAACACACTACATTATATGTGTATATACACAAACATACATTTGGCTTTTATACCGATAAGGATTATCCTACAGATTATAATACAAAACTCATATTACACATATTGTTCTACATTTACTTATACTTTTATATTCAATTTAAGGCAAAAAAATAGCATAATCATCATCATCATTTTCTATGTTGATCAATATCAATGTCACTATTATAATGAGAATATCAATATAATAGTTTGAATTAAAATCTCAATAGATTTTTCATTGTGGTTTTGAAGGAGCCATAAGAATAATTATTGAATCCAATGAGAAAAAAGTAAAAGAAAACAGCAGTAATTCTATTGTAATTTCAATGTAGTTTTCTCTGCCTCTCTCTCTCTCTCTCTTTATCACTCTTCCTCTCTCTCAGTTTATTTATTCACATTCTACTGTTACAAAATACAAACAAATGTATATTTACTTTTTTAATATATAATAAAGTCAACAAAATAATAGTATAAAATATAAAAATCTAAACAACTTGTATAACTATGTGTAAGTATATGTGTGTATATAATCCATTATATTGAATTATAACAACTGGATGATTGACCAACATCAACTAAAGTAACTGTGAAGTAATGGTTACAATATATACATATACAAAAAAAGTCCTTTGTATTATACACCCATCAAGTGATTTTAAGGATATAACTTTAATTATATTACCAAATCATATACAATTATGTAAAGATATATAATGTTTTTACATAATGATATAAAATTCACCTACGTACTTATAACTAGGAGCAGTGAAACTACAATTTTTTTCACATTGTTCACAACGAAATAAATAAAATTAGCAGAAAATAAGGATTATTAAAGAAATATTATAAAAATTAAAGATTTAAATCAAAAATATAAATCTAGACAAATAAATTTTCCAAAAAAAAAAAAAGAAAAAAATTTTTAATCTTAAAATATTTTGTTGAAAAAGTATTGTGGTGGATAGAATAATTGGTGAAAATGTTACAAGATCATCGACAACAACTTTAGCAAGTTTTTTAATTGCAACAACATTATTCAATGTAAGTTTATTTCAACAAGATAATCATTATACCACCACAGCCACCTACACATCAATACCATCATCAACATCAACAACAACAACAACTTCATATTCTTCTTTACCGTCTTCTTATATTCCGACAGCGACACCATCTATTTCAATATCATATTTGAAGCAATGGAAAAACCACATAAAACAAATAAAAACAATAGAAATAATAGAAAATTCCAAAGCAACAACAACAACAACAGTAGCAATAAAAAATCTAAATGAAAAAAATAATTTAAATAATATTGTAACACATTTTAATCCAATAAATTTAAATAGTCTTAGTAATAAAATCAATAGTAATAGCAATAATAAAAATCATAATAGTAATAATAATAATAATCATAATGATAATGACAATAGATGGCACAGCAGGATTAAAAAGAAAACAAACAGTATTAATAATATTAAATATAATAAAGGTGGTAGTGGTGGTGGTAATATTCATACAAATGTTAAAAGAGAAAGTCTTAAAATACCAAAAAATAATGAAAATATTGAATATAATGGAAGCGGAGACATTATTGGTGACATTGATGACAAATCAATTACAATGGATATTCTACATGATAATAATGAATATAAAAATTTTTTACATAATATTAACAGTATTATTAGTGATGATGATTTTAATACAAATGATAGTAAAATTAATAGAATTAACATTAGAAATAATAGTAATAATAATTATAATGAAAGTAATTTTAATAATAATACAATGGAAACAGCAACAACAAATTTATATTCGACAACAATATCAATATTTGATGTTGAAAATAATAAGAATGATAATAAAAGTGACAACAATAATTATGAAATACCCGAAATACCAGCATATATTCGTAATACATCCATGGTCATTTGTATTACAATTATGATACTTGGTGTCATCGGTAATATTATGGTAGGTAATGAAAATTAGATTTTTTAAAATTAAAATTAGATACATAATTTAAGAAAAATTTAAAATTTTAAGAAAAATGTACCACAATTTTTTCAGATAAATTCAAATTGCATATTTGTAGGCAATAGGAGAATTAATGTTTTTCAAAAGATTCAATTTTAGTAGATCGAAAATAAGAAGATTATGGTTGTGATATCCTTTACATTAATAAAACTATTTGCAACAAAATTATTAACAAACGCAGGATTTCGGCGAAGTTAAAATTATGAGCTTCTCTATTTTTGGTTTCAATTAGAATTTTTAAAATTTTGCTAAAAATAATTGGTTTGCATGAATTTTAATACCAAATAAGTAATTCTAATGATTTAAACACAAAAAATTCAGGAAAATAATTTAAATAACTCTGGTTATCTTGAAATTTCCATAAGATTTAAAAATTTAAATTTAATTCCATTTAATGTGCAAATAATTTTTGTATACACTTTGAAATTTCCATGTTTTACAACCAATTATCATAATTTTTATTTGAATGATAATAAATTTTTAATGCAATTATGATGTTGGACTTGAAAAGATAACCTTAAAAATATATTTTTATCTTAAAGAAAACCCATTCAAATTTTATATTCAAATCAAATTTACGATATAGGCACCCCCCGATTACATTAAATAAACAATCGGAACCTTTCTTTCCTGTACAACAAGTCAATATTCTTTAAAAACAAAATAAGAAAAGTAGAAAACAAAATTAAATCACACGTTCTATTTAAATCTTTAAATATTGATTTCGAATAAAATTTTTTAATGCCACCCATTTTTTTAAAGGATTTGTACATGTTTTCAAGGTTCTCTGTTTTCTTTTAACAAAAAATAAGGACCTTTTTATCTTGTTTGTTTTTGTTATCATGGTTTTTCTTACTTTTATTACAACAATTTAGACTTGGCATTACCCCTTTTTTTTGTAAGAAGCAAAAAAATATAAGAAAGAAAAAGTTACTTTTTAAAAAAATCCATTTTGTTTTTTTCCTCTCGTTGATGTTGGAATATAAGAATAAACAAAAAAAAACAAATAAATTTTAAATGAAAAAAAATGAAAATAAATTTTAATAGTTAAGGACATTTTCTTTTCACAAATTCTTCTTATTTTTCAAAAATAAAATTAATACTTCGTAAAAATACCAATGAATGTACGTACCGCTATTAAGGACACATAAAAAACAAAGCATAAAGAAAAAATTGAATTATTCGTCCGTAAAATAAACTCTTTATCAACAAATTTGGAACGTAAGACAATAAAAACAAAAATTGATAAAAATCATTTCTTTTGTTAAAGAAAATTAAATCGCGCTTTTAATAGAATAAAAGCAAAACAGTTTTAATTATGAGATTTTAAAAAATTTAATTATTCAAAGAGTTTATGGAAAATTATTAATTAACATTTTTTGAAAATAAAATTATTGTGACATTCAAATTATAATTATTCAATTGTTGTCTGGTAAAAATTGAAAAAATCTAAGTGGAATGCAATAATTTTGAGTATTGAGGGCATTGAACAAAATTTATGAAAACTATTGCTTCCGAACCAGATTTCAGACATAAAATCACTAACAGAAATTTATCTCTCAAAAAGAGATGTTAGAAATACAAACACAAATTTTTCAAATTTTATATTTCACTTCCAAACTCAGGATATTTTTCAATAAATTTGAGCTAAGACGTTTTGAGCTCAATTCAAATTTATCTCTTAATTTTTTAACATACCTCCTATTTTCGTAGAATTTTAAAACAAATTAATTTGAATTCAATACTGGAACCATTGTTGAATCCTATTGTATAACCGAATTTACAGAAAATTAAGTGGAACTGAAAAATTCCAAAAATTTTATTACCAAAAAATTTTACTGTAGAAAAATCGCTATAAAAATCTTAAATTTAATAAATAATGCTGTATAAAACACACACTCGCACAAAAATCATTAGTTAGAAAAAAACTCAAACAAAACAAATAAACAGTTTAACTTGAAAACAAGAAATTCAAATTAAGATGTAAAAACCAAAAACAGAAAAGAAAATTCAAAAAAAATCTTAATAATATTTTACTGTTAATCACAAACCACTCCATTTAATTATTAACCTTCATTTTAATTTGCCTCCATTATGTTTTCGGGTGCTCATAAAATTCTCTCTTTTTTTATTCTCTTAAAATCAAATTCTCTTTTATTCATTCTAATTTCTTTTTTTTACTCTATTTTTGTTTTCTTATTCTTATACTCTGTAGGTGCCAATTGTTATCCTTTTAACAAAGGATATGAGAAATTCAACAAATATTTTTCTCACTAATTTAAGTATAGCCGATTTACTGGTACTACTAATATGTACACCAACTGTTTTGGTTGAAGTTAATTCAAAACCTGAAACATGGGTCCTAGGACATGCAATGTGTAAGTATAATTTATAAATATATTATTATAATTTTGTAATATTATGTTACATAATATTATAATTATTCATTTACAGATATTTTGTTAATAAAAAAGGATATAAATTTAATATTTTTAATATTAATGTTAACATATAAATCAAAAACCAAAAAAAAAAAAGAGAGAAAAGAAGAGAAAATCTAAATCTTATTTGCCTTAAGGAAAAAAATCTGATGTGATCAGCACATAACCGACCGCAATACGTATTATCTAGTCTATCGTTATAATATAATTTATCGTTAGAAAAATATCTAGGAAAAGGTTAATTTGGCCCTTTCGCTTATTTTAGTCTATCTAAAAGACTGACATCACTCTGGAAGCGCGCTACCACCGAGAGTTTGACATCCGAAATTTGGTAATTTCGCTTTATCCCATTCGAGTTGCGTGAAAAGTTTGCCAGTTTATTTCCGTAGAAATGTAAAATACGTGACATAGGAAGAAAAGGAATAAAATCTATAAAATTTCCGTAAAAATCAAAATCGGTTCCATTAAACTTGAAACTTGCGCGTACACACACAGTCAGACAGACTGGTAGACTGACAAACAGACCGACATCACTCTGGAAGCGCACTCACACTGAAAGTTTGACATCCAAAATTTGGTGACATCACATAACCTTTCTTATTGTATTCAACGCGGTCGGTAATAAAAAAAAATGTTGCTACTAAATATTCTCCATTATTATGTATAGCTCTTTGTTTAAGATGTGTGTACTCTCAGCTGGACGTAAATGATGTACACGTATTGTAATAAACATTATTTGTAATTGTTGAATTGTATCCACTCATGAAGGTAATATTATAATTCATAACTGTCGACTATCAATTGCAGTAAAAGCAGGAATTAGCTGAAATATCAAAAAATTTTAGCAACATTTCTGATTTTGAATTGAATTAAAAGCTCTCAATTTACAATTAACTAAAATAAATTATTCAGACACATTTAAATTTTCTAATTTCAAAAATAAATGTAGGTATTTAAAATGTTCTTATACATCATTTTATATTATTAAATATTTTTCCTATTAATTTATGTTAAGAAATCATTAAAATTTACGTACAAAATTCGTAAAAATTAAAAAATACAAAAAAAATAATTTTTAAATACTTTTTAAATAATTCAAATTTTATGCATGAAATCATAAAATTTTATCCCATCCTTTTTTGAATGTATAACAGATTGAGTTTAACAGATTGTAATAATGGAATTTTTAAATTCTTAATTACTTTCTGACATCACCAACCTTCTTCAATCATACTCCTGATTATTCTCTTCTCTACCGAATGATAAAAAGGAAAATGTGAATATCAAAAATTTTTACACCTTCCCATCTTTAATTTTTGAATTTTTTTTTTAATTTTTATCAAATTTAATAATAAATTTAACAAATTTCTTAATAAGGTCGTATGTCATGTTTAAAATTCTATTAAACTTTTTAAAAGACATACAAAAGTAATTAACATAAAAACCAAAATTATTTGTACAAAGATGACAAGAAAATGTCAAAAATATTTTTTTAAATTTTAATATTATAAAATTAATTATAACATTTAAAAATTTTTTTTATTTTTGTTTTTTAATTAATAGTTTTCTTCTTTGTAATTATAAATGTGCGTTCTGATTTCTTTTAGTCAAATATACTAGCTTTAGTACAAAATGTTGGTATATACATACATGTAGGTATGATCATTGAATGCGTCTGATATAGAAAAAATTATAAGAGGATTGTGGTCGTTATTCTATATCCTATTGGCTACAAAAAATTAAATATGATTTTTAAACTACATCAAGGTGAATATCCGATCCTTATATGCAGTGAAATTGTTGGAAAAGCGCTTTTCAGCCTTTTCGGAAAATAGAAGTATTTACTTTGCTCAAACTAGAAGAATGTAGTGTGCTTTATTAAATTAAAGTTGAACGGTGTGTGGCTCATGAAGGCAGCATTTCATACATGGGCTCATTAATTGACCCTTAGAACTTCAGAATGTAGTTCAGAAAGCTGCTGAAGAATATTTAAAGTTTCACATTTTGCCTCATTATCAAAAACGCTGAGACAAACCCCTCTTTCAGCAACTTATTTTAAATATCTTATACTCCTCACAGTTTCTCTAGTACTGATTAAAATTTTTTCTAAAACACAATTTTCATATGATATAGCCTTCAAAGAAATGCAAAAATATTCCATTTAATTCAGACAGCAAATCGTCCATAATAAATTTTAAACAATATTGCATCACATTTATCAATTGCTGAAATTCTTTTTATTAATGCAAATTGTTCTATAATTAATGATCAATTGAAAACTGTTCCAATTTATTGAAAATGTTGACAGCTTTCATTAATTATTTTGCGAAGAAAGGAAGCAATTTTGCAATTTTTCTTTGATGCACCCAAAATATTCATTTGTTTTTATGAATTAAACGTACTTATTACTCACATTTATAATGATCAACTTATTATTTTTATTACAAAGCAAAATTTTCAAGATTCTACCAACACAATTCTGCTCTGTTTGAATGTCATTTCAATTCCAGTCTTATTATGATATAGATGAGGGACGCAATTGCAACTTTTTTATGTTGAAATAAGAATTAGGATTTGAACTGGTGAAAATAATTGAATTAATATACAAAATCATAATATTGTTATACACAAAATAATATTTAGAATAATTTCATCAATTCAATCTGTCAAACATTTCAATTTTTCAATTTAATTTCAATGAAATTGAATTTAAATTTTTGAAGTATGATATACTTAGGTTATCTAGTGGTTCTCTAATATAGGAAAATTGATTGAAATTTACATTTTATTAAGACATTAATAGAGAAAATTCTATAGAATTTTCTCAAATACTAGAAATAATATACAAATTTTTATTAACTATAATAGAAATGAATTTTTTATATCACTTTGATCTTTGAATTATATCGTAAAAATTTTCATATAAATTTTATAGAATTTTTAGTGGAAATCTTTTGAATTTTTTTTTTTCAGAATACCGTACGCAAAATGTGTATATACAAAATTATGTTTTGTATAATTGTATGTACGCGAATATTAATATCATTTTTTCTTCTATTTAAAAAAAAAATTTGATTTGTTTCTGTCTATTAATTTTTTATTTAACGAAAACACCCAGATTTTTATAAAAAAAAAAATATTAGGAAAATTTTCTTTTATATTTTTTGCACCATATTTTCTTTATCTAAAATATTTTCAACAAGCGCCAGTTTTTTTGACTACATACATATATGCTATAACGTAGACAATATGTATTTAAAATTTTCAAAAAAATTGTAAGAGGCTTCGTGCATAGAATAATTCACGCGCCTTCATTATTAAAAAGATAAAATACACAGATATGTGTTCTAATTCTGCAAATATGCCAATAATTTCTTCGGGAATGTATTCGCAGAAATGAACTCAAAATACTCAAATATAAAAATTTTATATACATTATTTTAATTTTATAATTAAGATTTCGTGACTTTAAAATTACAATAATAATGTATTCAGCAGTTAAAACTTTTAGTCAGAATTATGTATTAATACCGTATTATTGCGTTTTTGAAGTAAAGCGCATAAGACTGAGCAACAAAATATTTTGTTTTGAAAAATATTCTCTTTGGTCCCATGTCTTTTCAAAGGTTGTTTACAAGACCCCACACAAAAAATAGGATTGTACACACAATTACGTAGAAATCTGAAAAAATTTTGAAAAAATTTTGTTTTAGCACCTGTCCTTAAAACTATATATTAAAGGTTCCAAAATGAAAGCCATACTAACAGTATATATATGCCGACTGCCACAGATGACACTGACATCGACTATGATGGTCGATGTCAGTTGTAGATGATGGTCGACTATGCCGTGTCGAAAGATAGACGAAAGTTTCTTTCGATTATTTTTTCTATCCTATTCTTTCCCTTGAAGTTATTAATTAAAAATATAACACAATTTAATTGACTAAAGTATCTGTTCCGTTAAGACACTGCGTTAGCAGGTGCAGATCTATATCATCTAGATGACGGTGCAGATTTAGACGTTACACGTCTACCTAAGTGCAGATCTATATCATATACAGCAATTTGTTTTATGAAGATCGAACTTCAATTTGACTTATACAGCAAATCATTGCTAATTGCTGAATTTAAAATATTTAATATTTTAACAATATTTTTTTCAAAGTGGATGCTCCACTTTTAAATTGTTGAATAAATCTGACATATGCAATTAATATCGTAGTTCCTAAATTTATGCAATAAGAAAACACAATTGTGTAACAATTTACATAATATGCCAGAACATATTTGTATGACTTATAAGACTATTGAAAATTATAATTGAATTCACACAATTTTACCGAATTCCGGAATTCTCGCTATTCACTATCTCTTTTTCTAAAATATTCTACCTCTTTGTAGGTAAACACTCCAAACTCCCCCCCCCCCCCCTCTATGACGTATAAAACAAAGTAAAATTTGTTTAACATCAACTTCTTTTCATCACAATGACATTTATTTTTTTTTTCTAAAAAATAATTTGTTTTTTCTTCTTTAGAATTTATTATAATAATTCTAATTTCCGTAAACACACGTTTATTTAAATTTAAAATACAAAAAAAAATTTTAAATAAAATTAATGTTGTATATCGCGGCATACAAATGTATAATCACCATATTATTTATGTACGCGTATGTAGAACATTTTAAAATTAAAAATTCAAAGAAAAGCAAACAAGTGAATAAGTTGTAATGTCCATCTGTTGAACAACAGCAGAGAATAATCGCCACAAACACTGGCAAAATACAATTATAGTTTTGTTTTTCCTATATGATATTGGTATGTATGTATAATATATTAATGTACGTGTGGACTTGTATGTATATGGAAATGTAAATGTGAATACTTATATAGCGTGATGTCATATACATGGTGCCGTGATTTGTTACTAATATTTCTTTTAGTGATAATTTTACGTGAGCGAAAATGTGTTTTTTTTTGTATTTTTTATAATTTATTTGGTCCATAAGTCAAAAAATATATAGGAATTCGTTGATCATTAAAGTCATTCGAAAATGACTATGAAAATTATGTGTAAAATAAGAAAATTTATTGATTTAATAAATAAGAATTTAAAAATTTTAGAAATGAAAAAATAGAGGCATTTAGTTAGAGATGAAAAAAGAGTTAACCACAAAAATTATTATAAGAAGAAATCTTTAAAGAATACTGCTAATTAGGAATATGATTTGTGAAAGGATTTTGTTTGGTGTGAAAAGGTATGCAACTACTCTGTGAAAGGAGCTTGTTATTCATCTAATCGCTGTATACAATGTGTGTGCTCTAAATTTGGGGACTATTTTCAATTATTTACTCACTTCGAGAAAAAATTTCGATCTAAATATTTGGAACATCCGGAAAAAGTATTGGAACACTGGTACGATAACAGTGCTGCCATTCATAGTGACTTAGGTTATCTACTATCTTAGTGTGATGTTGCTGCCTTTTCTATTGTTCAAGACTGGAATAGTTTATATAAGAAATTGTGATAGAATATAATTCATTACAGCAATGTGATATTTGCAATTATAAGAGAATTAACAGCAGAATATAATCAACCCCAGTGATGAATGACAAAAATTATTAATTATCATTCAGTTTTAGGAATATAGTAGCGGCTTATCATTGTTTTTATGACTGCTTTGAGATTTGAATTTGGAACTTAATTACAGGTTTTTCTTATTAACGCATAATATTTTATGTATGTACCCTACCTTTTGATTCTAATATTTATTTATTTCTTGAACTTGCCTCCATTTAATCATCATTTTAAGAAATATTAAAATCTTATATAAATTAAGCATACATTCATTTCTATTTATAATCTCGCGTGAAATTTCACCGGAAAAATTATGAATTGCAATACAATACTTTACAACAAAATATTTTACATTGCATGTATTGCATGTAAATTCCATAACGCTCTTATAAATGAAAACAAAGCATTCTTTAAATAGAAAAAGCAATTATTTGTCATTTATTATTTTATTATTTTCTTGTCCCACAAAATCATTTTATTTTCAGAAAAAAAAAATATTTAAATTTTTTACATTCAACCAATGGATTTTTAATCCGTTATTTTCCACAATATTTTGTGCTCAACGCAATCAGAATGTTCCAAGGCAATATGATTTATAGCGATCTTTTCTTAAAAATTTTTTTAATATTTTTCAAAATTAAATACTAAACTATTTCATAAAATTTTTAAAAATAAATTCTTTAATTCGTATAGGTAAAGCAGTACCATTCATTGAATTAACTGTGGCACATGCAAGCGTTTTAACAATACTAGCAATATCATTTGAACGTTACTATGCTATATGTGAACCATTAAAAGCCGGCTATGTTTGTACAAAAGCTCGTGCATTATTAATATGCGTTATAGCATGGGCTGTTGCTGCTTTATTTACAAGGTAATTTACAACATTTTAAAAAATCTTAAGTATCTATTATTGTAAATGCTTTACAACTAAAATTTTCTACAAAAAATGTCATTAATCATTTTCATGTAATATTCATTTTCTTCCTTATTCCTACATAATATTTACTTGTATGCTTGTTTTGAAAACGTTGAAAATATTTTAAGCGATTTTAAATTGTTTGTTTAAGAATCAGAAAAGTTAGAGATTTTGCTGCTTTGTACATTGTGTAAATTTTTGTTTTTGATGATTTGTGTGTCGTCATTGTGCTTCTTTATTAGTTTGTTGCTTTGAATTATGCATGAGACTTTTTTTTATAAAATTAATTTTTTTCAACAACTATTTTCACCTGTTAAACATTATTTTTTTATTATCTTTGTTTCTATTTCCTTCTTATAGTAATTTTCATGAAAACATGAAGAATATTTTTTTATTTAAGTGAATTTTAATGATTTGATTCCATAATTTAGAGAAAAATTGTGGTTCTTAAGAAAATCTTAATAGTAAACTAGGTTTAATGTTACAAAAATTATAATATTTAAGCAATATTAAGAGGTGTGTCAGAGAATAAATAAAATTCTAAAGACTTTTAGAATTCTTTATTAAAATACAACTAGTCCATGGATGATAAATGAAAATTTAACGGCGCTTGAACACGAAGCTCGCAAAAATGCCATAATTTCTACTAACTGAATAAATCTAAACAGAAACTTGAAACTCCCGAAAAGATGGCATGAAATCACATGTTACACGCCTTACGTCATGTCAATAAAAACTTGTATTGCAATATACAGTACACAAAAAAAATCCAACAAGTTCTTCATTATTAAACATTTGATTTTTAACAAAACATATCCCAAAATCTTCCAAAATTTTGTTAAACAGAATGATTCTAACACCTTTTTACCAATTAATATGCATTTAGGCGAATATTTCGGACAAAATATAACCGCCTTACAAAAACTTTTAGTTTGGAAAAACTTAAATTTAGTACAGTCTTAAAGGCACTTTGTTTTTTTCTTAGCAATGTCAAATTCAATTAAACTTATCTTAATTTTTGACATATTCTCAAATTAATTAAATATTTACGATTTTTAACATACTTATAGGCACTTTTCAGTCTGTTTCATGAAAAATACATACCAGAAAATTTCAGTATTTATAACGATTTCAATTTGAATTCCACGATAAATTTGAATCTTACATACAACTAAATTTTAGCATCTTAAATGCAAAAATCAAGAAATTGTAATAAGAAATTGCTTCCAAATTTACATATAAATTTCACTATACTATATCACTAATTAAACTTTAAGTTAATTTTAAGCCTCACAAATTTTATAGGGTAATCGACCATTGATTTTGACATACATTTTATATCGCGCTTGTCTGATTTGATAACTTTATATATAATATAAATCCGCTGTTAAGTACATAAGAATTTTGGATTAAACAATAATTTGAAGTGAACAAAATTGTCTACTCTTTTAATGAAATTAAAATCTTATTTAAAGTAAAATTCAAACAGTAAATGTTACAAACAATAAACGTTCAAACAGTAATAGTAATGCTTAATATACAGGTATATAGAACTTACTCCTATATCGCATAGAATAATGTTTCCGAAAAAATTCCTTATATTTAAATTAAATTTAAAGAAAATATTTAAAAATTCAATCTCTTTAATTCAACTTTTTGTTTTCTGGTCTCTTTTTTTTTTATAAAATATAGAACGCGACATACTGACAAATTTTTGGTTGAACGCGATACGACTAGCTTATAACCTTTGAATTATATACATTTTAGGTAAAATGTAATGAAACTTTTTTGGTAAACTTTTCCCCCCACGAAAAAGCAAAACAAAAAAATTATTATAAAATTTTCCATTTTCTTATATCCTTTTCTCTTATACTTTAGGAAATTTATATAGAAATCGTGTTATACAACGCGTTAGTCGGGGAACGTATAAAATTTATAGGAAAATACATACATACATATGCACATATCAACACGAATTTAAGCTAATTTTGTATTGTAAATAAATTATCAATGAGATGTGCACATGCATATACAAACAACAATACTTATAGAAAAAATGTACAGTTGTAATAGGAATACGAGAGAAACGTGCATTATACATGTGTATGTGCGTTTATGTGTTCGCTAGGACAATATTCCATTCAGTTATATATGCATAATAAGATGATATAAACAAAAGAAATTGATTCATAGCATTCCTAGAAATTAATTATGGTAATCTAATATTGAAAATCCTTTAAGATTGAGATACGAATTACGTAAGATAAATCACTTAGGTGATAATGTAGGTTTATTTACAAAATTTATAACTTTTGTTTTTTTTTTTGTAAGGTTTCTATAAGTTAATCAACAGATTTTTTTTTGGTGATTTCTGGTTTCCTTATATTTATTTTTTTCCCCCAGTACCTGTATGGAAAATTTTAAGAAAATTTGATGGAAAAGTCATGAAAGTCACATTCAATGCAAATTGACAAAATGTGTGTATAAGAGACGTGTACGAAAGAAATAACAAAATAAAGCCACGTGTGTAAATGAAAATGTTAATAACGATTTTAGAAAATACACGGGTTTTACAATGTACTTATATATACAAATGTATCTACATACTATATGGAATAGAGTAATGGTATATTCTCCATTAACCTTTAATGAATGAAATCTTGTCGTACACTTAAAAGAAGAATATTTTTTTTTGATTAGAATGTGTAATCAATGAATATTCAAAGATTTTTTAAGAAATATGTATATATATATGTGTATATGTATATATATAACTTTCCAAATTGAATATTTTCAGAAAATATTAGAACACTGTAAGACTTTTTATTACTGAAACAAAATAAAAACAAAATAACGCAATGTGTGGTTTCAAAAAATTCCAAGTTAAATTAAGGGTACACATTTTAAAATTAAATAATCTTGTGACTCCATGTAAAATTTTAAAATTGTTAATCATATAATTCAATAAACAATAATTTTCTTCAGGAATTCTAAACAAAATTTCCCTTATTCTGAAAATTCTAAATTTTCATTTAGTAAATCCATTACCCTACTAATTCCACTAATTTTCGATGGTATACATATCAGAGATTTCATGGAATTCAGTTGGAAATCTTTAAAATTTGATTAATTTTACCATTTTAGAATATAAAACACCATTTTAAGAGATTACAATTTCCATAAATTTCTAAAATTATCAAAAATACCTTAACTTAATTTTGTGGTATACTGACTGGTACTTCAAAAAATTTAACTTGTTTTCAAAAACAATAATATTCTAAAATAAGTTTAGATTTGTTTTTTTAATATTTTGTAGAAATTATTTTAACAGAAGACAAGATATAATTACCCATTTTGAGGCCATGGGCGTAAGGGAGAAACTTCTGTTCGATGCTCATTACTTTAGTATTATCTAACATTACTTGTAATAACAAAATAAACCAGCCTCAAATTTTTACTAATATGTAGAGTTTATTAAATTAAGACTTGTTGAATTAGAGCGTAAGCCTCATATTTAAAAAATTTAACATGAAAATGTTTTGCTTAATCACATTTTTACACTTAAGACTTTATCTGTGATATCCGTTTTATCTTCTAATTGCCCCGTTTCAACTACAACAATATATAAAATTTCAAAAGGATTATCCTTATCCTTAAATTTTTTATTCATTTATTTTCTTAAATCTGCCCATTCAATTTAAAAGAAATTTGTCTTTTAAATGTGTGAACAAAAATTGTATTTTACTTGATGAATGAAACAAAATTTCTGAGAAATCATTTTTCCCGAGAGAAAATTTCTTCACACTTTCTTTCTTTTTTTTGAATATATCATTTTCTTTCCATTAGGCTTTTTACATCCTTAAATTTCTTCCTTTTTCTTTACAATTTTATTCAAATACAATAATAACAAAACAATCAGCAACATTGTTGCTAATCATTTGCTTGTATGTTGCCAAAAACTTTTCATTTGTGTACTTCTTAGGTGTATTCAAATTCAAAAACAAAATTTTGGGCACAAATGAATTGAAAGCACCTTCCTTTTCAAATGTTATTAAATTAAAATTGAATTTTTTATTCAAAAAAGAATTTTTTTCATAGAAAATGAACAAATCTTTTCTATTTTAATTGTATGAAAGAAAATTTGTTTTTAAAATTTATTCTGTGTGTATGTTGAATTCTATTTTTAATATTTCGGATTAAATTCAAAAAAATTATTTATTATTCTATGCTTAGGCCTACTCTTTATAGCATGTATAGAGAACATACCCTTTTAGGATGTCCAAAATGATTAATAGTTAATTTATTCAATTTCGTTTACTTTTATATTTTAATATCCTTAATAGGCTTCTTATGTTTAAAGAGTTTATATAATAGCTAGAGGAAAATTAAATTGTTTATGGGAATTGATGACATCATTTATGGCTATTATTGAATTGAAAATTTTATAAACAATAATATTTTAAAATACGAACCAATTTACATGAATTCTAAATTCGAAAAGGTGATGATAATTTTGCTTAAGTGTTATATAGGCGCACATACACTTTTAAATTAACAAATTTACAAAATTACTCCTATAATTCAAAGTCATGCACAATTTTGGTTAACATTATTTTTTATATTTTTCCCCGAAAAATATAAAAAATAATGAAGATTATTGAATAACAAAAAATTGAAAGTTCCGCCTCATACTAGCGATTCACTAAAATATCTTATTGTTTTTCGAAATACAAGCTTTTGCTTATGAATTTTAATATCCTTCAATTATTCTCATAAAATATTTTGTGCATAATACAACATACGAGTCCATATATGTATGCAATATATTGAAAGAAGATTAAAAATGTAATTATTAGAACAAAATATCTTCAAGCATCTAGATATCAAAAATTTTAATATCAAAGTAATATCGAAAGTAAAGTCAAATATAATGTCATTCGTATCAAATCCTTTCA